GCGAGTTTTCACAGGCAGAGGCAAGTCTAAACAAATTTATAATTTATATATCGGGCATTCTGTGCCGAATCGGGTTCAAAAAAAAATATTTTTGATTTTCTTAGTATTTTGATATTTTTAGTAGATCTCTCAAAAGAGGCTACCTGGTAAATTTTGAGATTTTTTGATCACTGGTTAAAATTTTCAAAAAAAAACCGCTCTTTTTTGATTTTTGATCATAGCTTTCTTAATAATGGTCGAAATTCAACTTTATTTATTTCCAAATTTTTGTTTCTGGATGACCTTAAAAAAAAGTATAAAAAAATATTTAACATGTTTTTAATCGAGATTTTCAATTTTAAGTTTTCAATCTGACTAGACTCTATATAAACATTTTAAATAATTTTTTTATATTTTTTTCAAAGTAATCCACAAACAAATATCTTGAAAAAAAAATTTAAGTTCGACCATTATTAAGAAAGTTATGAGCAAAACACCATAAAAGAGCGGTTTTTTTGAAAATTTTAACCAGTGATCAAAAAAATCGCAAAATTTACCAGGAAGCCTCTTTTGAGAGGTACTAAGAAATACCAAAAAAATATTAAGAAAATCAAAAATAAGAATTTTTAAAGCCATCCGATTTGGCATGGAATGCCCCATATATTTTACCGCTGTGACCGAAAATTGGTCAAAATAATATTATTATAGGTACCTGGAGTATTACGGTACTGTTTTACGGTAACAAAATCTAAAAATTGTTTACTTTTTCAAATATCAAGAATATATGTATGTCTGTCTTTTGAATTGCCGGTAATTTGTTGGTTTTATTGTAAAAATTGTAAAATTTTAAAATTGATGTGTGATTAATTATTTTGATAATGAAAATTTTATTTCAAAATTTTTATGGAAAAGTTAAGTGTGGTGTACAAATTTTTATATTTTTATTGCTTTCGTGATTGATTATTATTAAATATAAATATTAAAATTTAGTATAATTTACATCTTTTATAGTCTGTTTTTTTTAATCTTAGAGACTAAATTGACACATGCCAATGTCAAATTTACAAATAATGTTGCTAGCTCTTGTGCAGTGTTGTAAGGTACCTACGATACCGGTTTGTTGAATCGTAACTTTTTATCTTTATTGGACGATTCGCTTCAAAGTTTTATATTCCAAAGTGTATTATTAAAATTCATATTATTAATTCTAAATCATTAAATATCATATTTATTAATTTTAAATCATTAAGTATCATTAAAGTTCACATAATTAAATTTAAATTTGCATTATTAATTTTGTGTTACTACGTTTTAATTAAGTACCTACACATTATTTTAGGATAACTTATTATAAAAAAAACTATACTTGATTTTGTTAACGTTAATTTTCGATAGTGGTACATCACTATTTAAGAATTACAATAACTGGCAACCCACGTTATGTCAGTTTTGTCTCAAAAACAGACTATAGTATATATGTATTAAATAATAATTTGAAAGTTTGCAGTTTAACGCCATCTATCATTTAATAAGAAAACAAAAATTGTCTAAAGATAGCCCGAATTGTAGCTGTCAAATGTGTTTGTTTGAGATGGGGCATCTAGTGTTGTAAGCGTTTTAACCGACTTCCAAATAAAGAGATGGTAGTTCGGTTCATATTTTTTAAATAATATTCACGTGTTTATAATAATACTGCCGTCATAAGAAAGAAGGTCATAACTAACAATTTGGTCAATAATTATAAATTAAAAATTTAAATAAACCCCTACGCATATTAATTGTTATTTATCGATTACACTGGCACGAGTGAAGCACTTAATCGAGTAATCATACGCCAAAATGCCTTACATCATTATGGAAAAGAGCTGATACTGTTACACTGCTGGACCGATATTAACCAAACATAGCTAAGAACCACCGCAAGGAAACTGGCTTTCAAATGAATGAAGCCGCATCGAAATCGGTCCATCCGTTTGAGAGGTACGATGCCACAGACAGACACACACACAGACAGACAAAGACGTCAACTTATAACACCCCTCTTTTTGCGTCGGTGGTTAAAAATCACTCTAATACAGATTCTGAGTCAGCAAAAAAAATGCTACGTGATAGTCTCACTCATAAAGCTCTAAGTCTTATGAACTACGCACAAACTGTGTCGGCACGTTTGGCTCAGTTTGTAGTGACCCTACTTGCTGTGCCATCGGTCGCGGGTTCGAGTCCCGCTGGGGGCATTCATTTGTACGATAAGCACGAATATTTGTACTCCAGTCATGGGTGCTTATATTTATAATATGTATGTATGTAAAGTTATATATATGTAGTGTATCAACTATCTGGTATCCATAACACAGGCCTCGTAGCTTACCATGGAACTAGATGGTGCTGTGTGTTAATGTACCAACATATTTATTATTAAACTACTACTAAGTACTAAGGCACAACTTCAAATATCTCAAAATCAACTTTGATGAATGCCTTCTATCTTATGACGGCAGTAAAATGTAGGAGAAATGTACTGTTTATATAATAGCTGTAACTGATCGCACAATAAATGGTTTTCAATTTATATGTTGTTTTATTTCTCACTAGCATTGCCCGCGGCTCCGCCCGCGTTCAGATGACCAAACACCAAATTCTTAGGTTTTACATATTAGTATACTCTTACATTGCAGTTTTTGTATTTTTAAAAGTATCACATAAATAAATAAATATAAAAATCACACTGGTTTTTCCGTGATGCGGTAACAGACAGACAGACAAAAGTTTTAAAAACTAAAGATTCGGCCTCTGTATCGATAATAATGTTTATTTCAATAAGATTTTCCAAAAAATATTTAATGTACAGATTCGGCTTAGTTACAATTTTATTATATACATAGAGAATGGCATTTGAATGATTATTAAAAGGCAGAGACACAAGCAGTAGCTTTGTCTCATGGAGTGTAGACAATTTTATGAAGCCGAGTAGTATTAAATATTTTATTTTCTTTAAAGAATAAGGAAAATTTTATATATGTATTAGTTAAAATACAATTTTTTAGGAATAAAATATGAATCTATACAGATAAATAAAATTGAAGTGTCTGTTTGTAATGTCTAAATAACACGTTTTTACTAAATGCATATGAAATTATATATGGTACTTATAAGAAAAAAATTTTTTTACATTTTTATGTCTGTTCTGGCTAATCTCCAAAACGGCTGGACCGATTTTGACGGGACTTTCACTCGACGCATCCAAACGAAGCAAAGTTTAAGTAGCTTGTAACTATAAATAAATAAAAACTCAAATTATAATGAAAACTTAATTTTATTCCATATTTATATATATATATTCTTTTATACAAAATCAACAACTTTGTGACATTTACATCGAAATGGTCGTAAATATTGCTTATAGTACACAAACGCCGTTTTTTATAAAAAACCGTGCAAAAATTATAAACCAAGTACCTAGTTCCATAGTAATTATGAAACGCACAAAAAAAACAGACAATTTTAAATAAAACCATTTTTACCTTTTTATTACAATTTTTATTCCTGACATTTCGAATACTGTCCAGCAAAAAAAAATCTAACGTACTGCTTTTCCTGCAAATTAATATACCAATTTGTTTGTAGATACTGTCTGTAACAACTATATAATACCTTAGAGACATCTAACACCTCAGTCTCTCCCGTGACTATGATTGCTGCAAAGCATTCGAAACGTCGGGAACTAAAAATCAGAATTAATCCGAGAAATAATCCGAAAAGATAGTTTTATTTAAAATATCAAATATTCGCGTAAATCTAAGAAAGTATTAAACAAACTGCCACAGCAAAGACCAATAACCGTAATTTATCTGTACATAGATATTAAAAAAAAACTGTCAAACTGACATTTCTCCTTAAAACCGCATTTATTAACAATAAAAAAAAAACATATTATTTACATTAAAAATCGCACCACTATTTAAAAAAGTAACACTAATTTTTCCATCTTAAATATTTTTTTTCAAAATTTCATAACTTACAAAATTTTGAAATTTTTTCTTTCACAGAAATTTTCATTTTTTACTTGTATAGAAAACGTAATATAAAATTGAGAATATCATATTATTTTGATGGGAATCAATATATTATACACTTGTAATGAAGGGCGAGAACTGCGAGTGCCCCACACAAATAAAATGTAATCAAAATTCTAATCATTTAAATAATCTAATTTTAACATGAACTGCAAAAAAAAACATTTTTTAATTTTATTATCAAATCAACTCTGTTCTGGATAAAATAGATTTATTTAAATAATAAAAACCAAAAATTCATTACAAGTAAATAATAATATTTTAAATAGTATTAATTGAAATTTGTTTATAAATATGAGTTCATCTTAAAAGAAATAAGTACAAAATCCTGTAATTAAATAAACCATTTAAACCAACACCGTGTGATGTAAAAAATAACAATCTATTGGTTTTCAAAATAAAAAAAAATGCTGATCACAAATTAAAAATATACTAAAAAATAATACTATTAATTATTTTAAAAACTTTTAGAGGCGCCTTGTTATTTAGTATTTTTTAAATTCATTTTGAAAACCAATAGACCTTAGCCATTACCATAACTAAAAACTATTTTACCCGCATTGTGGTACCCTTGTTATTTATCTACATTTAAATGTAAAATGCTATTAATTATCTATGAAAAAATATTTTTAAAATGTAAAATTGTGAAAACATCTTAGTTACATACATTTTATTTATATACAATTTCTTTAAAATTTATTTAATGTAATTTTTTATATCATCTTTCAAAATTTCATGATCAATACAAAACTAAACAAAAAATATACAAATCACAAACAAGAGTGAACCACGATTACCGTTTTCCATTAAAGAAAAAAACACTTCATTTTTGTAAGGTTTTTTTTTTAAATACCCAAAATTTTCCCACACTGAAAATTTCCGATACCAAAAAACCAAAATTTCCCAAAATGAAAAATTTCCGCTCCCCAAAACCAAAAATTTCCTTCACCCATCCTGCATTACGGGAATGGAAAACCCATAATTTTTCTCCAATCTAAAGTTATAGTCCTGCGTCCCATGGATAGTTCTTACATGTATCCTCAAATAACTGGGTCTGGTGAAGAATTTATAGCAAATATGACACTGATATTTCTTCAAACCCGTATGAGTTTCTAAATGCCTTTTTAATTTTCCACGCGTTATAAAGCCCTTACCACACTGTTGGCATATGAACGGTTTCTCCTTGGTGTGTGTGAAACTATGTAATTTCAAATAATAATGCAATTTGAAACCTTTATTGCATATTTTACATATATGTTTCTTCTCTTCTACCTTCTCGCTGTCTTCTATTGCTATTTTTGATCCATGGCTTTTTAAATGCTCTTCTAAATAATAGAAATGTTGAAAGACTTCACCGCATATGTTACACACGCGGCTTCTCTCGTCTGTCGGTACAATGTCGGTGAGGGAAGAGGAGGTGTCAGGCTTTTTAGGTATTTTCCGAGCATTTTGTAGCACCATTGCTAATATTTCATTGCGATTTTCTTCTTGTATTCTGTGGAATTTATTGATAAAATATTTAATGTATTGGAAAAATAGTATAGTTAAAAATAAATGTCTACTTCATCATTAAATATTTGTATAATATCGAATATTTTTATTCAATTTAATTTAGAAATTCAATTCAAAAATGAATTTACCTAAACAGGTAACAACTAATAAAGCAAAAGTTAATATAAAACGTGAAATACAATAATTAAAAAATAAATCAAGACATCTATCTATCCATCCGTCACTCTAGTTTGTATCATAACCCAAAAATTTTCCATTTAATTTTTTGAAAATTTTCGAAAAAAAAGAAATTGCCAAAAAATTCCTAAAAATTTTTTTTATTTAAAAAAAAACCACTCACAATCCCTCCTTCTGGTGTGTCGATAGGTGCATTTGCACATGATATTTAGTGTTGAACATGTGAGCACACACAGGACACTCGTATCTAAGTATGAATTTGTCCACTCGGTGGCTGACGATGTGTCTCTGTAATTTGCACTGAGCGTTGAATGACTTCGTGCAAATGTCACATATAAACTCCTTTTCTGGCTTGTGATTTTTTCTGTGGTAGATCTGTTAATAAATATAATACTATCAGTAATGGATAATTGGACTAATATTAGAAATGTAAAAGTATTTATGTGCGTGTATGAAAAAATAGCTAAAGATTTCATCCCGAATGTCACAACTCTCTGTTTGTAAAAGGAATGCAGCTAACTTTATCATGTCGCTTTTTAGCTGTCGGTGTGCGCGCGCATCGTAAAAATTTTACTCTCATAATTTTTTCTCTGTCCCAAAAGAAGTATAACTTCAAAAATCTCACCATAGTCTCTCTCTTCTTATAGCTCTTCCCACACACAGTGCACAGGTAGGGCTTTGGTCCGTCGTGAGTCACTTCGTGGGACTTCAGTGCCGCCTCATCTTCAACTTCTACAAGGCAGAAGTTGCATTTGTACACTCTTTCTTCTCCTTCATGACTCTTTTTGTGTACCTTTTGGGGGGAAAAAATGTTTTAACCAACTTTTACAAAGAAGGTATTTAATTTTGGCATAAGTTAGTTGGTGTGATATAAATTTTAAGAAAAAAATCTATCCATTTGCTTGGAACACTTTTAAAATAATTTGATTTTTGTATACCTATTGGAAGAAAAAAAAAGAAAAGATTTGACCAACTTTATAAAAAGAGACAATGTAGTAGTTAATTCTAGTGTATTTTTTTTAATTCAAAATGTTTTATTCGGCATTAAATTAATACAATTGTTTAGTGAACGCCCACAGTCTACCACCAGTTATCAGTTAGGAAAAAAGCCTTAGTTTGAGAACTGGTGAAAAAAACTCAGTGGGATAGAAAAATATTTTTTCTTTATTTTTTATAAACAAAATTATAAATGACAATAATCATCTATCATTGAAATACCCAATTCAATAACTCTTAAAGTGTTATCCTAATAATATTATAAAAGGGAAAATTTGTGAACATGTATGTATGTATGTATAGATGATCGTGACTCTTTCACGCACGAACTACAGAACAGAACGGATTTTGATGAAACTTTACATTAAAAATAGCTTATACATCAGAGAAACACAGACTATGATCTATCAAAACATGGTAATACATTGTTAATTTACGGACAGAGCCGCGGGAAGACGCTAGATTTGTTATTGTCAAAAATAATATGTATATTTAAAAAGAATCTCATCTCCAATAATGATTATTCCACCCTTTTAATTTCTTTTGAAGATACTCTACTTTTTTAGGTGAAAAATAAAATTATTTGACGTTCTAAATAGTGCCTTTATTTTATACAAATAGAGTCGAGAATAGCTTGGAATTGAACCCACATCCCTTTTTCTTTACCTGTAACGTTTCTAAATGTAAGAATCGTTTGTGACAAAATTCACACGAGTGCGGCCGTTTTTGATACAACTTTTTCTTTTTCTCCAAATCATTTGGTTTCTTTGAGAACTTCGCCAGTGCCTTCTTCATTTTTTTTATTCTGTAAAGATAAAAAAAATCAAAAAATAATCCATTCATTTTTAAGAAAATAAACAAATTTAAAGAAATATTATAAATTTATAGGAAATTCCACCGTTCCTTTCGTTTCACTAATTTCCACTTTTGAAAAAAAAACAAAAGAAAAACAGATTTTCTTAGATTTACGCGAATATTTGACTTTTAAAATAAAAGTATCTTTTCGGATTTTTTTGCGAATTTATTTTGAGCGATGGTGGGGGTTCGATTTTGGAAGAACCAAAAATAAAAAAAAAACCGAAAAAAGTTTTATTTAAAAGAACATATAAGTCTATTATTTATCTTTCAAAACGTACGCTTTTTTATCTTTATTAGCTTCATCATCGTCGTCGTCATCTTTTTCCGTTTCCGATTTAATTTCTTCTTTTTCCGGTTTTATTCCATCCTCTGAAAATATATTAAAATTGGATATCTTCATAATTTATTTTAATAAATTATTAATTGTTTTGAAGTCATAGTATGTAATCGGACTATTGAAAAAAATCTTTACAAGTAAAACTTCTTTGGTAAATATCGCAATTAAATTAAAACAAATCAATAATTAAAAAAACTTTTTAACAAAAAAATAAAAACCGACTTCAAACAAAAGCACTAAAAAGTAAAAAATAACTGATTGGTAGTTTTCATTTACTATACATACCTAATCAAATATATTCGAAGTCGGTGTGCTTTGGCTAAGTAATTAAAGCCTACCTATTAAATACATACCTAATCAAATATTTTCGAAATCGGTGCCAGGCCATACAAAGCAAAGCACACCGACTTCGAATATATTTGATTAGGTATGTATAGTAAATGAAAACTACCAATCAGTTATTTTTTACTTTTTAGTGCTTTTGTTTGAAGTCGGTTTTTATTTTTTTTGTTAAAAAGTTTTTATTTTTCTGTTTCGGACGACCAGAACCAGGGTATGTCTAGTACCCGGAGGTCGACCTGGGACAATCTCCCAGACGTTCTTGGCGTACACGGCAGTATGTCCGTTCGCTGGTAATGTACGCCACCACGCACCCCTGAATGCGTAGCTTGGGTCCCGATCCACTAGGGTTTCTTCGTTGACAGGAGACTATACTTAGAGGCGATGAAATAAAAACACAATTTTTTCCTTTTTTCTCTCTTGGTTTCGGTTCTTCCTTTTCCTTTTAGTTGTTGCCTCTTCGGTGGCTGTCTTGCGACTGACTCGAATCGAGAAATGGCTCGCCTTTTATTTGGCCCGTTAATACCTTACAGAGAGCCGCGTACTTTGAGCTCATTTTTCGAATAAAATTTCCCTAAACCGAAACCTTGAGAGTCCTTTTATTTTATGTTTTCAGTAAAACACCTTACACATATTTATTTATTTACATGCCTTACATACTATTATACAATATTAAAACATAATATTCAATATATAATAATTAATTAAAAAAGTCTTAAAACAAAAATATCTAAATTTCTAGGTTGCTACATTTTTACTATACATTTTCCCTTATAACTTTTGAACGGATAGTCCTATCGACCTAATTCTTGTTTTATTATAAGTTTTATAATAAAATCTATTATTTAAAACATAAACTATTATGCTATTGCAAGAAACAAAAAATCTCATTTTCAAGTTACGTAATTATATGCTAACATTTTACTTACGTACCTATTCCTTTCAAATTAATGTTAAATAGTCTTATACGATTCAAATAAGCAAAAAATACTCTAAACTAACCTTATTACACTAATTAGAACTTATTTTAACATAATAAATCTAATAAGAATGAGATTTCATATTTACAACAATTATTCATAATACGCTAAAATGACATTGTCCCTATATTAATACACACGTTACTCGAAGATAGGTTTTCCGTCGCCGACATTCTCCCCCTCGTGCTTTGCACCAACTCCTGGACTCGGCGACGCTCCCGGCACCAACAGCACCACTCTCGAACTGGGCCTCCGTAGAACACCTCCTCTGGTCTCGACGTCGACGACTCTGGTCCGCCCGTCTGGTCCAGGATACACATGCAGGATTCTTCCGCGTGGCCAGATGCATCTTGGTAGGCTGTGATCGACGATCAGTACGATGTCTCCGACTTGCAAATCTGTGGCGCTGACTCTTCCTTTGGTCTTCCTTGGTAGTAGAGTGGGCAAATACTCTCTCAGCCAACGTTGCCAGAAGTGATCGGCAAGTCGCTGCGTAGCCTTCCAGGTGTGTCTGCCCACAAGCTCGTTGTCCTCGAAGCTGCCGATTCTTGCTGCGCCACATGATCGCCCGATGAGAAAGTGGTTCGGTGTAAGTGCTTCTTCTTCAGGGTTCTCGGAGAGGTGGGTGAGGGGCCGAGAGTTGACTATGTGCTCGGCCTCTAACAGGAGGGTATGAAGTACCTCCTCTCGTGGTTGCCTTTCGTTGAGCGTGGCGTCCAGTGCGGTTTTAATGGATCGCACCAGACGCTCCCATGCACCTCCCATGTTTGGTGCACCAGGAGGTATGAACTTCCACTGCACACCGATCTTCTCCGCTTCCGAGATAAGGTCTTCTTGCTTCATGGTGTCTAGTGCTTCTTTGAGTTCTTTGTTGGCGCCAACGAAGTTAGTGCCATTGTCGGTGTAGATTATCTTTGGCATTCCCCTTCTCGCGGCGAATCGTCGTAGTGCCATGATCATGCTGTCAGTGGAGAGTGAAGGAGTGAGCTCAATGTGTACAGCTCGTGTTGTTAAGCATGTGAATAGAGCACCCCATCTCTTCTCATGGCGTCTTGCTACGGTGATCGTCATAGGGCCGAAGTAATCTATTCCCGTGCACGTAAATGGAGGGTTTCCGTGCATCAGCCTCTCAGCAGGTAAGTTGCCCACTGGTAGTTCTTGAGGTCTTGCCTTTCTTGTTTTGCACCACTGGCATTGATGTTGAATGGTCTTGATCGCTGACCTCAGTCCTAGCACCCAGAAGCGTTGTCTTACTTCGTTCATTACGGTCGCGTGATTCCCGTGATTGAAGCGGCAGTGAAATTCTTCTATGATGAGAAGTGTTGTCTTGTCCTTGCTGTCGAGTACGATGGGTCGTTTGTAGTCTCTGGTAACCCCTCGTATCGCGTCGATTCTTCCTTTCAGTCGCAGGAGACCTTCTTCTAGCACTACGTCGAGCCTTTTCAACTTGCTGCTGCCCTCTAATTGTTTTCCTTGCTGTAGGCACCTGATGTCCTCTTTGAAGCATTTCTCTTGACTTCTTCTTAACAACAGCGTTTCAGCTTGCTCTAGTAGACTTGTTTCCAATGGTATGTATTTCCTTTCTGACGTTTTTGAAGACAGATGTCGCTTCTCAACAATTTTCTTATTCCTTTTTGTAGTTTTCCAGGTAGGATCTTCTTTGCTGGCGTGGACCTTTTCCTTTCTTCTGCAGAGTTGTATGAACTGCAGTACTCTTGCTGTAGCTCGCCAAAGTCTTTTCCACGACGAGAACTTTTCGGGATCTGGTGATGGATAGGAGCTGCCTGCAGTCGCTACGATGTCCGCTGCCTTTTCTTCGCCAGTGGTTTCTTTCTTGAATGTTCTTGCCGCAGGCCAGTGAACTTCATCTCTTCTTAGAAACCCTGGTCCGGTGTACCATCGGTGTTGGCAGTCGAAGTGTTCTGGTACGTCACGTGTTGCATCATCTGCAGGGTTCTGCGCCGTCGGTACCCATCTCCAGTCCTGTGGTTTTGTGAGATCTTCTATCTCCGCCAAGCGATGAGCCACGAATGTCTTGAAGGTTCTCGGGTCCGTCTTGATCCATGATAGCACGATACTGGAGTCTGTCCAAAACGTCTTCTTTTCTATTTTCAGATCCATTTCTTCCTCGACCGAGTGTGCCAATCTGCTTCCTAGGAGGGCCGCTTGCAGCTCGAGTCTCGGGATTGACACCGGCTTCAACGGAGCGACTCTTACTTTTGCTGCTACTAAGCTGACGTCATAAGTCCCATTTTGATTTTCAGTTCTCCAATATACCGTAGCTGCATACGCCATTTCGCTTGCATCCGTGAACGTGTGCAGCTCCCCCTCGGTGCGACGTGGTGCCAGACATCTCGGGATCTGAAGGTCTTGGAGCAGCTTCATCTTCTCCAGGTAAGTCTTCCATGACTCGTACTCCTTTTCTTCTATCTCTTCATCCCAACCGACGCCACTTCGCCATATGTTCTGGAGCAGCCTTTTGCCTTGGATGAGAATTGGTGATGCTAGCCCTAGTGGATCGAAGGTCGACATCACGGCGCTGGTGACTTCTCTCTTCGTAGGTACCTTGAGTCCTTGTGCCACTTCATCTGGCGTGTTCCGAAGGTTCGCCCTAAAGCCTATGGAGTCCCTTTCTGTAAACCAGCGTAGTCCCAGTGTCTTCTCTTCCTTCTCACCAAGGTCCACCTCTGTCTTCTCAACTGACTCAGTCTTCACGTCTTGCAGCAGGTCGGAGTGGTTTGACGCCCATCCTCGGAGTTCGAAGCCCGCCTTTTTGTGAATGAAGTCCACCTGCGCTGTAATTCTCTTGAAGTCCTCTTCTGAATGGAAGCTGTGCAGGTAGTCATCCATGTAATGGTTCAGCTCGATTGCCTTTGCTGCCGCTGGGTACTGCTTCTTGTAGTCCGCCGCGTTCCGGTTCTTCACGTAGATCGCTGTGCTAGGAGATGATGTCGCGCCGAAGATGACTGATGTCATTCTGTACTCCTTCAGTGCTACGTCACGACGATCCCCTCGCCACAGGAACTTCAAGCTGTTTCTATCTTCTGGCCGGATGCGAACTTGCAGGAACATTTCCTTTATGTCGGCTGCCACTGCAAACGGGCCTTGCCGGAACCTCAGTAATACCCCGAAGAGCGATTGCAGTAGGTCTGGTCCCGGTAGTAAAGCGTCGTTGAGGCTTCTCCCTTTAGACTTGGCTGCAGCGTCGAAGACGATCCTTATTTTCTTCTTCAATGGATGTACCACGGAGAAATGAGGGAGGTACCATGTCTTCTTTGAATCTTCTTGTCCACCAGGTGCTTCTTCTGCATACTTGCTGTCGATTAGATGCTGGATCTGCTTATTGTATTCTGCCTTCAGCTGAGGGTCTTTGTCTATCTTCTTTTCAATGTTGAACAATCGGTTCTTGGCAGACGTGTAGCTTTCAGGCATCTGTTTCATCTTCATTTTTCCATAGAAGTCCAGCTTCAAATCGACCATCTTCTAGTCTTCTGCAGGTCTTCTCTAGGATGGTGAGTGCTCTTCCTTCTGAATCCGTAGTGGGTCTTCTTGGTAGTACTCCAAGTGCTTCGATTGCGAAGTGATCCTTGATGGCTTGATGCATCTCTTCTTCTGGCGTGCTGACATGTAGACACGTGTTTAAGAAGTGCACCACTTTCGCGCCTCCAGTGTCTGACCCGTGGAGCACCCATCCAAGTCCTGTTCTTGAAGCGACTGGTTGTCCTGGTTTCCCTCTTCTTACTTCTTGAGTCACGATTAGCTCCCAGTTGTCTTGACCGATGAGCAGCTGTGGTGACTCCCCCTTATAATATAGAGAGTCAGCAATCTTCTTCAAGTGTTGACACTCTTCTATCCTTTTCTTTTCTAGGAACTGCGGTGCAAGCTTCAACTCGTCGATGGTCCGGACTCTTCTCAAGGTCTTCTTGGTCTTCTGATGAATCCCCTTCACCGTAAGGTCCAGCATCTGAGAGTCTTCCTTCCTTATCAGCCTGCCTCCAACAGTCTCGATGACCAGTTCCTCCTTTCTTCCTTGAGCGCCGATTTCTTCTGCTACCTTCTGGTCTAGCAGCGACACTGTTGACCCTTCATCCATGAGGGCCAATATCTTCTTTGATCCTTTTGACCCGAAGATTTCTATCGGAATTATCTTCAGGTATGCCCTTGCGTTGTTGACCGCATTCACCGATGCCATGATGCTCGCCACTTCTTGTGGTTTGTTCTTCTGTTCTTCCGAGGAACTTTTCTCTGTCTCGACGTGCAGCAGATGATGATGCCACCTCTTGCATTCCTTGCACGACGGCTTCTTGCAGCTCTCCTTCCGATGTGTCCCTTGTAAACACTTGAAGCAAACGCGGCTTTTCTTCACTATTGCCCATCGATCTTGCACAGACGCCTTCAGGAACTTCTGACACCCGACGAGGAAGTGTTCACCCTCACACATGGGGCAAGTCTTCTCTGATCTTGAAACCTTTTCTTTGAAGTCCTTTTCCTTAGTTGAATGCGTTGCTTGTCGATGAGTCCGTCTGAACCCGCTCTTCTCTTCTGTTGATGCATAGGCTCCACACTTGTCTGCTTCTCTGTTCAGGAACTTGGACACCAGTGTTAGGTCGGAGAACTCGCCTTCTTCTGTTGTTTCAATGAAGTCGTACCATCGGAACTTGAGGATCGTAGGCATCTTCTCAATAATTTGTTTCACCATCTCAGGTGAATGCAGGTACTGTGGTTTCTTCAATCCTTTTATTGCCGCTACGCTGTTGCTGATCTGGCTCGCGAAGAGGCATATGTCCCTTGGGTTTTCAGAAATCTTCGGCAACGTTTTGACCTTGTCCAACTCTGCCAGCACCAGTGCATCTGGTCTTCCATATCTTCTTCTGAGGGCTTGAATCACTTCCATCGGAGAGGCTTCGGAGTACAGCAGACTCTTGATAGCTTCTCTTGCGTTGCCCTTCAGTGCTCTTCTTAGCCGAGCCATATTCTGGACGTTGTTGAACATCGGTGCTGTATCTTCATAGACAACCTTGAACGCCATCCACTCGCTGCTGTTGCCGTCGAAGTAGGGTAACTCGTGAATGTAGGTTGGCTGTCCTGCTGGTCCTCGCGTGGTAAGAGCTTCCTTCAATGCTGCCGTCAGTGCTTGAATTTCAATCGTAGCTCCTCTCGTTGAGGAGTTCTCTTCAGGCTTCATCTTCTGTGGCTCTTCCAAGGGGTGTGGACCTCGCATCTCTGGTTGAACTTTGTTGCCATCCTCCAGCACAGACGTCTCGATCCAGTTCTGCACCTGTGCTGTTCTGTCTTCCAGGTCTTCATCCACGGAGTCCTCTTCTTCACACTGTGCCATCTCCAATCTGACACGGGCTAGCTTAGTTTCAGCCTGTGCTTGCTTCAACTCCAGGCGTGCCAACTCTTCCTTTGCTTCTAGCTCGCGTCTTCTGGCCGAGGAACTCGTGGTCTTCGTGGACCTGGCGCGACGACTGACCCCCATCGGTTTCAGGGTCTTGGAGGAGCCTTGAACATCCTTTCCAGGTACATCTTCTTGGCTCTTCCTGGTCATCCTCTGTGCAGCATCTTCTTTGTTGCCTTCCATAAACGCCGCCGTAGTTGCAGTCGTAACCGTAGTCTCCGTCACTGTGGTGCCCTCCGTGGTCGTGGTACCCGAAGAAGTGTTCGATGTAGTTGCAGTTCCCGATGACGCCGACGCTGACGTGACCCCTTCTGATCCCGACGTTCCATCTGTCGCGTCCCTATCTGAAGGACGGGACCCGGGACGTGAGGGGGCATCCTTCTGCGACCTGGTTACCGGCATCTTGAACGTAATCTTCTGTTTCTTCTGAACTTCTTCTAGCAGGGATCCGGCTCGAAGGACCAACTGTTTCGGACGACCAGAACCAGGGTATGTCTAGTACCCGGAGGTCGACCTGGGACAATCTCCCAGACGTTCTTGGCGTACACGGCAGTATGTCCGTTCGCTGGTAATGTACGCCACCACGCACCCCTGAATGCGTAGCTTGGGTCCCGATCCACTAGGGTTTCTTCGTTGACAGGAGACTATACTTAGAGGCGATGAAATAAAAACACAATTTTTTCCTTTTTTCTCTCTTGGTTTCGGTTCTTCCTTTTCCTTTTAGTTGTTGCCTCTTCGGTGGCTGTCTTGCGACTGACTCGAATCGAGAAATGGCTCGCCTTTTATTTGGCCCGTTAATACCTTACAGAGAGCCGCGTACTTTGAGCTCATTTTTCGAATAAAATTTCCCTAAACCGAAACCTTGAGAGTCCTTTTATTTTATGTTTTCAGTAAAACACCTTACACATATTTATTTATTTACATGCCTTACATACTATTATACAATATTAAAACATAATATTCAATATATAATAATTAATTAAAAAAGTCTTAAAACAAAAATATCTAAATTTCTAGGTTGCTACATTTTTACTATACATTTTCCCTTATAACTTTTGAACGGATAGTCCTATCGACCTAATTCTTGTTTTATTATAAGTTTAATAATAAAATCTATTATTTAAAACATAAACTATTATGCTATTGCAAGAAACAAAAAATCTCATTTTCAAGTTACGTAATTATATGCTAACATTTTACTTACGTACCTATTCCTTTCAAATTAATGTTAAATAGTCTTATACGATTCAAATAAGCAAAAAATACTCTAAACTAACCTTATTACACTAATTAGAACTTATTTTAACATAATAAATCTAATAAGAATGAGATTTCATATTTACAACAATTATTCATAATACGCTAAAATGACATTGTCCCTATATTAATACACACGTTACTCGAAGATAGGTTTTCCGTCGCCGACATTTTCCCTTTTTAGTGTAGACAGTAGTAGCAAAGTAAGAATTCTAACGTGTTAGGTTTGTCAAATCAAACAAAATAAGCCCAAACTCAAAGTATCTACTATTAGCCGTTGAAGAGTTCCACCTATCCACCTTCTGGCCTTGCCATCAGATCAGGTCAACAACACCGAAACACTGTACTATCAACGGAAATAGAAATACTTGCAAAGTTTCAAGTCAATATGACAATTAGAAGTAGGTTAAATTCATCATTAGTTGTTTTTTCACCTTTAGGGGTGGTATTTTTTTTTTAAATTTAAATGGGACCAATCTGGAAGTATACCCTTTCAAACAAAACAAAAAATATCCAAATCGGTTAATAAATGACGGAGTTCTGAGGTAACAAACATAAAAAAAAAAAAATACAGTCGAATTGAGAACCTCCTCCTTTTTGAAGTCGGTTGATAAGGAACATTAGGCATATTACAATTATATATTTATAGAATATCATATACGGAAAGAATATAACATTATATATTTGTCAGACAATAACAATGGTCACCATGGCAACATGGCAATGTATTCTATCTCATTCTCTCGCCGGCTTAATCCTGTATATTTATGTGTTTGTCCCTTTCTAGTGTCACATTTCCATTTCATCGAGTATCAAATCACAACGATTCTAAAGAAGATTCACTTCAATAAATAAATAAACAGCTGGACTGATTTAGATAAAATTTACAGAGTACACAGACAGACAAACATAACCTGGAGTAGCACATAGCTACTGTTAGGCACTAATAATAGTAAAAATTAAAAAAAAACTCACCATTCCAAGACTCGGGATGAGTGAGAACATGTCTATGCATTTTGCTGCTTGTAATGAATCCAGCATTGCATATATAGCATTTGAACGGTTTTTCCCCGGTGTGAGTCCGCATGTGTACTCTCATATACGAAACTGTGCTCACTTTCTTCTCGCATATTGGACATTTTAGTTTATCTTGCTTCGTTTTGGGCGATGGTGGGGGTTCGATTTTGGGTGTGGCAGCCCACGTGTTCGATGGGAAATAGTCGTCGTCGGATGCCCTAAAAAGATATAAAATATATTTATATAGGAAGTTACGTTATCGAGACGGTGTGTTGTAATAGAACAACGTTTTTCGACGAAAGGGTAGTGGCAACTTTATTTTCTTATTTTCTACGGTTTTATATGATACAAGAATGCGGTAGTGTGTGTTGGTTCTCAGCCAAAGACCCTTCGGCATTTAAACTATTTATGTTTAATTACTTGCTATTTGTGACGACTCAATTGTCTTACATTTACATTGTTTATAATAACAGATCCTTCTGAAAAAAAATCTATAAAGAAACGATACATTTTATAGTAAACCTCCTTCTGAGAAAGATATTTAAATAGGAACACATGTTGGTTTACATAACTGGGGTTAGATTTAAAATTGAATGTATCACGGTGTGAGTGAACGGGAAGATTTGGGAATGAGAGAAGGAATAAAAAAAAGCAACAGTGGAAGAACGAGACAACCAATATGTGGTTACTCCTCGTATTGTTATAAATAAGAAATCTATGCATATAATAAAATTCTGAGTCGAATCTGTACATTAAATATTTTTTGGAAAATCTTATTGTCATTTTTATCGATATAGATTTTCGATTTTTTGTCTGTCTATTTGAATCACGAAAAAACCACTGAACAGATTTTGATGAAATTTGGTATGACGATAGCTGGGTATCCGGGTCAACATATAGGATACTTTTTACTGCGGGAAAATATCTCATCTCTGAGAAATCTATACTATACGTCAAAATGTAAGTAGGGACGACGCCGAGCGGAGCGAGGGTGAGTCGCTCAGTATAATAATAAAACAACTACTAAGACTAGCCAACTGCAGGATATTATAGTGCAGTGTGTGAGAAAGAGAGAGAACACACATACACACTCTCTATTACTTTCATTCTCACACTCCAGTGGGACGACAATGCGTTACTTCCGTTACTGAGACTTTCTAGACCAAAAAAATCCAAAACATAACTATATTTGGCCCCGATCCGGGACTCGAACCTAGAACCTTCGGATCTGCAACCGTACATGTTAGCCACTAGACCATAGAGGCAAGAAAAAATACACATCACTTAAAGCTAACAATGTTTGTATGCAAATTGAACATGACAGTCAAAAATTAAAAAAAAAAACAATCACTTACATTTCATCCTTCATTGTATCATCCTCTTCTTTAACATCATCAGCCTTCACTTCATCACTCCTACCATCATCACCCCTAACATCATCACTCACATCATGATCACCACCAACACCATCACAATCACCACTAAAATCATCATTTCTATCATCTTCCACCTCTTCTTGTTTAACTTCTATATCCATATCAACTTTAACTTCTTCTATTTCTATTGTAAACTTATTGATGTTATCTTCTTCTTTAACTATATTCTCTTTTGAAGCCACATCACATTCGGCCCATACATCTTCTTTTTTTGGTTTCTCCTTCTCATTTTCATTCTTCTCCCGCATCTGCTCTTCTAGCTCTTTTAAATATGGCAATATTGCATTGTAATCTGAAAACAGCTTTTTTATGTTAGTTTTAATCTATGAAGAGAGAGTTAAGTAATCGGTACTGTGGGTTGTAATGAAACAACGTTTCTCGTCGAAAGGATAAGTACAACTAACTTAATTTTGTTATTTTTTACAGTTATATATGATACATGAGTGTGGTAGTGTGTGTGGGTTTTTAGGCCATAAAAAAGGACCCTTCGACCCTTAACCCGTTTATGCTTAATTACTTGCTATTTGTGATAACTCAATTGTCTTACATGTGCATCTATACTGTACTAATATTATAAAAAGGTAAAGTTTGTGAGTTTGTGACGTTGTAGGGGATAATCTCTGGATCTACTGAACCGATTGAGCTGAAATTTGGTAAGATGATAGTTTGAGATCCTGGGAAGGACATAGGATACTTTTATCCCGAAAATTATCCCTTAAGGGGTTGAAAATGGGGATGAAAGATTGTATGGGGAATCAAGCTAGGGACGAACCCGAGCGAAGCGAGGCCGAGTGGCTAGTTGTTTATAATAACAGATCTTTTTGTGAAGGATCTCCAAAGACACGATACATTCAATAGCAAACGATCCACCCGAGAAGGATATCTAAATAGGCCACACACACACACACACACACACACACACACACACACAGGTTATATTACTAAGGAATTGATAAATGAAATAATGTCACTGATTATAATATAAAAAACTAACAATATGAATTAAAATTTAATCTAATCTGATAATAACAATTAATTAAAACAAAATTTAAAAAAAAAACAAAAATTGATTAAGATAACGCAAAATACTATACGATATCGATAGCATTTAATTTTTACTTTGAGTTAGTAACAACTTAGCTTAGTAACTTAGCTTAGTAACTTAGCTGCCTTAGAGAGTGAGAGATTAGAATTTCCATTTTTGAAAATTTCTATGAAAGCTGCTAATATTAACCACCCGCCGCCATTTTATTTATTTTTTTTTAAAGTTAGGGCGCAAGACGAAGTAGGTATAATTGTAAAGAGGATAGTTAAACAAACAAATAATGTTAACAATATGGTACCTAAAAGGGCCGCGGCTCTGAGATATTTTGGTGTAAATATCACTTATATGAGAACTATGGAAACTGTTTTTTTAATACAACTGAAGGCCTTTATATATAATTGAATCATTTTGAATGATTATTATCATCGTTTTCATATAGCTTTATATATACTAAAATATAAAGAGGCAGAGTTTGTTTGTTTGTTCAATCTCAAAAACTACTAATCCGATTTGAAAAAATCTTTTTGCATTAGATAACCCGTTTATTGAGTAAGGCTATAGGCTATATACAATCCCGGAAAAATGTACGGTTCCCGTGGGATACTTTGTTTTTGCCTAGGGACGAACCGAAGAGAAACGAAGGTGAGTTGCTAGTTTTTGAATATGTCGGAAACGTAACACTTTTGGGTACCATATTGCGATATTATATGTTTATTTAATTTTCTAATTATTAACAATTTAATTTAATTTTGAAAAAATAATAATAATGGCGAATGTTGGCTGTGCTATAAAGATTATATCTCATTAGAGATATAAAAAAATATAAAAAACCGACATCCAGGCATTAAAATGTAAAAAATAACTATACGGGCGTTTTCATTTAGAATAGATACCTAGTCAGATATTTTCGTAGTCGGTGCCAGCCAATGCAAAGCAAGTCTAATATATTTCGATACGTAAAATACATCACAAATTGATGTATAATATTTTAACTAAATTAATAGAGTTCATACCTAATCATATTTACCTATTAGATATTCATATCTTATAATATTGTCGGCTAGCACCGACTTCGAAAATATCTGATTAGGTATCTATTCTAAATGACTACTTATTTTATAAATCTTAGTGCCTGGAAGTCGGTTCTTTTTTTAAGTTTTTATTTTTCTATTTTTAGTGGAGACATATTATGCAGGTAATTTGTAAGAAGAAAGATTTTTAATAGCATATTCGATTAAACAATTAATAAAAAAATATATATATTTATTGTTGATTTTTTTAAAACCCGCTCACTTCGAAACAAAGAAAGAATTTTCCAAATGAACATACATAAAAAAAATATTCCGACGAATTGAAAACCTCCTCCTTTGTGGAAGTCGGTTAAAAAATATATAAAAGTGATTGTCTATATTTTATTGGATTGGTAATTTTTTTTTGAAAATTTCATTTTTATTTACCATATGGCTCTCCTTCTAGTTTGTCATCTGGATGTTTTTTATCAAAATGGCGCGTCAGGAATTCAAATCTGGCAAAGAAAATTACAGTTGTATTTACGTTTAAAAATTTTCATGGAAAATTTTGAAATTTCACAATTGTTTTTTGAAATTTTAAAAATAAAAAAATTAAATAACTTACCTTGAAAAATATCTATAGCATATTCTACACTGATATCTTATTGCTAAATGGAATCTTTTATTGTGCCGGCCCAGTTTACTTGCTGTGATGAATGATTGTCCGCACGAAGAACAAGTGTACGGTTTTTCATCTGTAATAAGGATACATTATAGATAAAATAAGGATACATCTATACAATATTATTATAAAGAAGTAAAGTTTGTGCGTTTGTGACGTTGTAGGGGGTAATTTCTGGATCTACTGAATCAATTTTGATGAAATTTGGTAAGATAGTTTGAGACCCTGGGAAGGACATAGGATACTTTTTATCCCGGAAATCATCCCTTAAGGGGGTAAAAATGGGAATGAAAGTTTGTAACGGGAAGCAAGTTAGGTACGAACCCAAGCGAAACGAGCGTGAGTCGCTAGTTACAGATAAAATTATCTTTTCGGATTTTTTCGTGCATTTATTTTGATTTTTGACCACTTAATTTTGGTGAAATATATAACAAAGAAGACAAAGAATATTAACAATATTTCTTTCAACATCTTAAAGAACCACCAACCAATACAAAATCACTTGGAAGTGATGTATTTGGAACCCATTTTCCACCCAATTCTATACTATACTACATTAAATTTAAATTTTATAGGCATTTGTTAAGTCAAAGGGTGTTATATTATTAAAGCAGGTTTACCTGTAAAGGGATGATGTGTTGCTACCTTTACAGTTAACCGAAAAAGATGAAGGTCAAGAGTGAGCCCATTTTTAATTAAAAAAAAAATTATAAAATACATAACATATTATAATATATGTAAAAAAACTTATCCGTGTTTTTTTACTATTAGTTACAAGTAATAATATTAATAATAATACTCTTTATTGTACAACCAACAGAAAATACATACAGACAGTATAAACAAAGATGCACAGCAGGCAGCCTTATCACTTAAAGCGATCTCTTCCAGGCAACAGATTACCAGGAAAAGGAGAGTGTGAGAGAAACGGCAAGCGGTGTACTTGTCATAATACAGTATTTTGCCATACTTATACATACATTACAAATATATAAACTAAATACACATACTAACTTATATACATACCTACAAACATACATAATTATAGATACAATTAAATAAGAAAGCACTAAAGGGACAGGTAATATTCTTTTAAGTATTTACATTATAAAAATTTAGTTTTTCTGGTAAATACCTGTATGAGATCTGACATGAAGTTTTAAATAGTAACTCAGTGTGAACTGCTTCTGACAGGCGAAACATTTATAAATTTTCTGTAACTCTTCATCTTTTGTGTTTTCCGTTGAACTTTTTGCTATTATTTGATTAGTTTTATCTGTAATCGTTTTTAATTGATTACTAGTTTTAGTGTTGCCGTTATTTTCTTTGGAGCTTTGGTTATCCGATTCTGTATTGTTCATAAAATCTGATGCTTTCTCGTTGCCTATATATCCATCTTCTGGTTTTATTTCAACTTCAATTTGATTTTCAACTTTGATTGTTTTTTTTAATTTTTTATTTTTTTTCATTTCTTTTTTTAATTTTCTCTTCTTCATTTGACTTTTTATTCTCAAGTCGTAACTCGTCACTCTCTCTTTATGAATCAGCACATGCGTATCCAACTCATGTAAGTTTTGATACGACACATTGCATAGTGAACAACCATAAAAAGGAAAATCTTTTTCCGTTATCTTTTCAGAAAAATATTTACTTCTCTCCTTTTTTATCTTTTGCTTCCCCACTTTCGTTATATCTGGTTTGACATCTTCTTCCACATTTTGAGTTTTGTTTTCGACATTATTTACAACTTTAGACTCTGTTTCTTTGTTTGGTTCAATATCACTTTTTGTATTTTGTTGTGGACTTTTTGCAGCACTCGCATTTGGATTATTATAATAATTAAAGGCATTTTGGTATTGCTCTAGTTTAACAGGATATGGGAACGCACCATGGTCTCCATATTGAAGATTATCATAACTTTCAAAATTGTGAAATGTACTTAAGTTATATGAACTCAACGGATCTACTTCGGGAGACACATTATTATTCATTTTCTAATCTGTAAAAATATCTATATTTTAACCACATAATATATAGTTTCATTCTGTTGTTGTTTAAAGACTAATAAATATATAGGTATACTATTTAATTATAATTTTCCTCTTTTTACATTTAAAATTGTAAACATCATTACTATTCATATAAATATCCAAACCAGTTATAACTTATAAATTACCCACATTTAATCATAAATTACTGATAAGTAAACAATAAATATATAACATAAACAACAAATAGTGCACAATGTTGTGTTTTAAGTCGAATTTTTTTATTATAAACACATTATTCTCGTCTATGTATCAAAAAATGACAGAATCATATATTGCGTCAAGTAAAAATTAATCGATACGAAAAAAATCTACCTTTAGAACGACGGCCGTCACAAAAAAAAGAAGTTTTCGTCAACACAACGTTATTTATATAAATATACACATTTTTACACAAAAATTATGTTTTGAACGCCACTGATGAACAAAAAATTATATTTTTAACTATTTAATAACTTAATTGTTAAGTTTAAAGTTTATTTACTTCTCTAAACAATGGTTTTTAAAACACCAATTCACATTTTTTTCTCGCGTGACTGGACTTCGGTGGCAGCCACAATGTTGCCATGTAAAGAAAATTTCCACCAATTCAATATTTTATAATATTTTTTCTATAAATTTTAATACGTTTGTCTTAGGGAAAACTTGTTTTAAATTAGCTAAAAATTGCTATTTTATTTCTAGTCTAGGGCGTACCCTACACCGTAGTGCGATTAAAACAAGTACAAACATTCAGAACAGCCATTTATTTCATTTCAACTAATATTAAATTACAATTTAGAATTTTTTAAGATGATACATATATGTGTAGTGTCTTAACTATATGGTGTCCATAACACAAGCCTCGTAGCTTACTATGGAACTAGATGGTGACGTGTGTTAATGTTCCAACATATTTATTTATTTATTCATTTTTTTAACATATTTTGGAATTTTTCCTTTATTTGTGGTCAACGGGAACTACCATATAGGTTTTCGATCCAAAACCTATAGAGTACTTTCGGTTGACCTAGAATTGTCAAAGTTGGTTAAAAGCAAGTTCTTACAGCACAAGTGAAGGGGAAATTCCGAAAAATAAAAAAAGACGAAAATTAAGGTAAATTTTGGTACTTACAAGTTCTCGCGAAAGTCTAAACTTGCCCGTATCTTTTTATCGTGTTGACTCAGGATCTTGATTTTTATACACCTAATAAGAACTATAGACCTCAGTATTTGGTATAAATTTCAACATGCTAGGTCCACCCTTCCTGAGAAGATCGGTGGTGACACACGAACAGACAGACGGACAGACGGACAAGAGAGTGATCTTATAAGGGTTCCTTTTATACCTATTGAGGTACGGAACTCTAAAAACGTGTATAATGTCTAAATATGTATTCTTATGGACTCCCACGACTGGAGCGATTTTGATGAAATTTTCATTAGCGCAGCAGGTTATCCTGTAAAGTTTTGGTAGCGGTCAGAAGTTTGAACGCAGGCGAAGCTGCGGGTAATGCTAATCTATACATATAATAAAATTGTAACTAAGCCGAATCTGTACATTTAATATTTTTTGGAAAATCTTATTGAAATAAACATTATTATCGATACAGAGGCCGAATCTATAGTTTTTAGAATTTTCGTCTGTCTGTCTGTCTGTTACCGTATCACAGAAAAACCACTGGAGAGATTTTTATGAAATTTGGTATGATGATAGCTGGTTATCCGGGTCAACATATAGGATACTTGTTACCGCGGGAAAATGTCTCATTTCTGAGAAAAAATACAAAGACTGCAATGTAAGAGTATACTAATATGTAAAACCTAAGAATTTGGTTTTTAGTCATCTGAACGCGGGCGGAGCCGCGGGCAATGCTAGTATAATATATTATTATAAAAGCTAGAAACATTTTTGTTAATATCTATCATTTTCGTGCAGCAACACACCACTGAATTGCATCGGAAAGTATAAATAAAAATAGTACAAATTTTTCTACAACAGGAGCCAAGAAAATGTTAAAAAAGTTTCCATTGCTAAATCTATACCTATATATAGAATAAAATTCTGAGTCGAATCTGTACATTAAATATTTTTTGGGAAATCTTATTGATATAGTCATTATTCCCTCAAAGATCGCGGACACGCCAGCGTTACAGTTAACAATAGATTTCTTAGAAATTTAATTAATTTCTTAGAAATTTACCTGGAGGTGTTATTATATATACTTACAGAGGCCGAATATATAGTTTTTAAGAAATTTAGTCTGTCTGGGAACGCGTCACGAGAAAACCACTGGACAGATAGCTGGTTATCCGGGTCAACAAATGGTAATAATAATAATTAATTTTTAAGCTAATGTTAAAGTTTAAAAACAAAATAATTTTAAAGTTTAAAAAATAATAATAATAATAAAAGTATTATATATTAGTACTTTTTACAGCGGGAAAATATCGCATCTCTGAGAAATCTGTAGGTACTAAACGGTGTCGGTAGGTAAAAAATATATTTCTATATATATTTTCAACCGACTTCAAAAAGGAGGAGGTTCTCAACTCGACTGTATGTTTTGTTTTTTTTTATGTTTGTTACCTCAGAACTCCGTCATTTATTAACCGATTTGGACAATTTTTGTTTTGTTTGAAAGGGTATACTTCCAGATTGGTCCCATTTAAATTTAAAAAAAAATATCACCCCTAAGGGTGGAAAACAACGAATGATGAATTTAACCTACTTCTAATTGTCATATTGACTTGAAACTTTGCAAGTGTTTCTATTTCCGTTGATAGTACAGTGGTTCAGTGTTGTTGACCTGATCTGATGTTAAGGCCAGAAGGTGGTTAGGTGGAACTCTTCAACGGCTAATAGTAGATACTTTGAGTTTGGGCTTATTTTGTTTGATTTGACAAGCCTAACACGTTAGAATCCTTACTTTGCTACTACTGTCTACACTAAAAAGGGAAAAATAAAAACTTTTTAACAAAAAAATAAAAACCGACTTCAAACAAAAGCACTAAAAAGTAAAAAATAACTGATTGGTAGTTTTCATTTACTATACATACCTAATCAAATATTTTCGAAGTCGGTGTGCTTTGCTTTGTATGGGCTGGCACCGATTTCGAAAATATTTGATTAGGTATGTATTTAATAGGTAGGCTATAATTACTTAGCCAAAGCACACCGACTTCGAAAATATTTGATTAGGTATGTATAGTAAATGAAAACTACCAATCAGTTATTTTTTACTTTTTAGTGCTTTTGTTTGAAGTCGGTTTTTATTTTTTTGTTAAAAAGTTTTTATTTACCTACCGACCGTTGGTGTTCTCAAAGTTATTACAATTTTTTTTTTACGAAGAATTATTTTACGTATAGTTATCATACATATAAAAAAAGATATAGAAATAATATTTTAGTCCCGCTTAGTTTCTTCGTCAGTTCTTCTCAGAACTCAGGTTTCTTCTTTCCGAGCTGATGGTACTCGTGATGTTCAGTAAAAATTGTAATATGTTATATATTTTTTTAATTTGAACATTGGCTACTTCTTGTACTGGAATATTCCTATAATATATATCCCGTGGGATCCAATATTCATCCCGTGGGATATACATCTATTGCACAAGTCAATAAAAAAATAAGACGCGTTTGATTTTATCTTACTTTCTATTTAATTTTTGATGATTGGTTCGTCAATGTACGAGTAGGTGACTACTGGTTTGATTTCCGGACGAGGTAATTATTTGTATGGGCCATAATTTCGAGTCTTTAAAGTATTAAGTGACATTTTCTATAAGTAAATCTAGTAAAATTGGCAGTAATAAGATAACCATTTTTTAACTAAAAAGAAACTTTCTGACTTTAAAAAAGGTGGGAGTACCGTAAAGGTGATATCATTTTTTGCTTATCTAATATATAAAATTTCCATGTCACAATGTTAGTTACCGTACTCCTCCGAAACGGCTTTACCGATTTTTACCAAATTTTATATGCGTATTCAGTAGGTCTGAGAATCGGCTACTATCTATTTTCCATACCCCTAAGTGATAAGGATAAGGGTGGACCTCCCAGACCCCACCCCAGGGACGAACCCGAGCGGAGCGAGGGTGAGTCGCTAGTATACATATGTTATGCAATATCATCGCCTTACTTTAGTTTAAGGCGCAGATCGACAGCTTTAAGTGCTCAGCCAATATTGAATTTATAACCAAAACTGATGCGCTGGAGTTAAGTTATATATAATTTTTGACCGTCATCGAAAGGAATAGGTACTCTATATAACACACACGATATAACGCGATTTGTTGCATTTTATTATATGTATATCTATTATCTATCTATATAATAGTTAGGTCTTTTTAATGTATTATTAAGAAAAAAAAATAAACCGATAAATAACATTAATCACAGATAAACTAATCCACATATTATAACTGCCTCGTCTCGGGGCTGATACGATGCCAACTTCCCAATTTCGGGTTGTAAATGAGAATTCCTTAACAAAAAAAATAAATGTGCAATTCACACATCGTAGAAGTGAAACTTCAGAAAATGATATGAATATAGAGTATCAGGAGTAGGATAATCATAAGGATTTTTTTATATTATTTTTACCAAGTTTAAAAGTTATTTTACATTTTATTTGACATAAATATAAACATTACATAATAATTAGTAATGAATTTTATTATTTTTCACTTCCTGTGTAATGTATTCTATCAAATAACAACGGTTACCATGACAACGGTTACCATGGCATCATCGCAATGTATTCTGTCTCATTCTATCGTCGGCTTAATCCTATATATTTATATGTTTGTCTCTTTTTACTGTCGCATTTCCGTTGCATCGAGTTTCAAATCACAACGATTCTAAAGAAGTTTCACTTCAAAAACTCAATAACTAAATTTAGCCCCTCCCGGGGGTCAAACCCGGGACCTCACAGTCAGCAGCCATATACAAGTAATACCAG